CGTGGTAGTCGGGGGCGCAGAAGCAGAAGGTAAAGGAGGAATCCTTAGAATCTTCTGCAGATTCTTTAGAGGATTCTTCTTCTTTTTCCTCCATGCAAAGGCCGCCATTGTGGCAGACATTTGGAGAGTTCTTGGAGCACGGTTTCAGTGGTCGGTCGCAGAGGGGGCCGGTCCAGCCTAATGGGGGAAAACAGGTTTTAAGTTTTAGAAATTAAAACATTTCTACAGGCTTACCATAGGCGCAGATGCAGCGAAAGCTTCCCAGGGCGCTCTCGCAGCGGCCGCCATTTTGGCAACGGTTTTCAAGACAATAGTCGACTACTTCTTCACATCGGCTCCCCTCAAAACCTCTCGGGCACTTGCAGCTGTAGGAGAGGTTCGGGCCGTCGACGCAGAGGCCGCCGTTTTCGCAGTGGCGGCTAATGTTTTTTAGGAATGAAGCGTTTTGCTGGAGAAATTCTTCAGAGCAGGCGTCCACGTCCACCTCACAGCGGTCTCCCAGATACCCGGGCGGACAGAGGCAGGTGAAGGCGAGGTGGCGGTCGAGGCACATTCCCTACAAAAAGAGGAAAAAGATGATTAGGTTTTAGAGTTCTAAAATTCGCTGAAAAGAATATGTAGCTTACCCCGTTGAAGCAGGGCGCCGAGGCGCAGTCGTCCACCTCCTCCTCGCAGAATCGGCCGCAGAATCCTGGCTGGCAGATGCACCTAGGATAGGAAAAGGAAGTCGAATTTCCCGGTTCTTGATTAACACAGGTTCCATTGTTCTGGCAGCGATTCCTCCCCGGCAGGCAGTGGTCGAAGCGGTGCTCACAGTGGACGCCGGTGAAGCCCTCCAGGCAGAAACACCGGTATCCACCATTTGCGGTGTCATTTAGAACTGAAGAACTGGAATTGGAATTTGCTTCCACTTCTACTTCTTCAGCTCTGCAGACGCCGTTGATGCAGGGACTTGAGGTGCAGGATGCTGAAGACTCTTCCGCTGAAGTAGAACCGATGATGAAGAGAATGGCGAGTAGAATTTGCTGTAGAAGATTCCTTGTCATTTTCATTTTGTGGGCTGGTTCAGTAGATTCAAAGTGTATG